AAAAAACCTACGGCATCTAGGATTCTCGCGTGGTCCCCCACCGCAATACTGACTAGACCCTCCTCAAAGAATAGGCAAATGTTATGGATTGAAGCAAAGAGAGGTTACGCGTACAACAATAAGGGAGACATGCGCGCGCGCGCTTTGCGACAAACCGCCGCACCAAGAAGAGAGAGACGAACGTTCTAAAGGCCGAGATCGAGAACAGGATTATCGCGAGCGGGGAAAAGGAAAGGGCGAGAACAATTTTCGAGAACAACCAGGGGACTGTGTGCGACTTTCTTGGACTTTCTTGTGAGCGCGAAGTGACCTGCGCCCCTGACAACGTTGATGTCATCCCCTTTTTGCAGCGGCATGGTGTCAGGCGTAGATCTGGCGAATGTCATGGATTAGAAGAAAGGTGACGCGTACAACAGGGAGAGATGAGCACGCGCGCGCGCATTGCGGCAAACCGCCCCACCAAGAAGAGAGAGACGGATGAGTGAGAACGATTCGAGACGAGAACGATTCGAGAAGAATTGAAGGAGAGACAAGAACGAGAGACAGAGGGTCATCAGCGTGACGGACGCTTGATCACCGAACCGCGAGCGTGCGAAGGCGGCGACAGCTCGAGTTGTTCTTCGAAAGCGCAGGACTAGCCGGCATTAGAGGCGCGGTTATGCCATCGAGTATTGCAAGACTTCGTTGGACTGATCCTGTGCATCGCTTGCTCCTTTTTCGTCCTCGACCCAAGATACGATCAACTCGAGAGCTTTGATGAGGGATACGCTCGTTTTGCTGACCACAGCTGCTGCGAATTTGCAGCTGAGAATGAGAATGTTGCTGCAGGTTTGCTTGCCGAACATTCGGAAGCACGTGGTGATCATAGAAATCCAGCCAAAGATTGATAGGAGGATTCGGAGCGTCACTGGCAATCCGCAGATCGTTTGCAGGGCCATGATAACGATCGCACAACCGGCTGCTGCTTTCGTTGTATTGAACTTGGGACGCGAGGCCATCGGA